CTATTAGATAAAGGCCAGAAGCATAGCTAATTCAGGCAGTATGTAGGTAAAAGGAGCACACTTGGCATCATTATAATGCTCTTTGCAGCCCTGTCTTATAGTAATGTGTTTTCATCAATCTGACGGACACTTTGGGATTGAATTTATAGCGTCTAGTATAATAACCCCTATATAATGGCTTATGGACTTATGTGTCCGTGTTCACATTAGTCTAGGGCCCAGACCCTCTCTATAAGGAAGATGGTCTGGTAACTCTCCTATAGTAGATTTGGGCTGAAAGTTACGTACTTTGAGCCAATTAGCTAATAGTTTACAACATGAGTAATGCACAGAGAAAGCAGCTTGTAAGGCACTCGTCCTTGGAAACCGGTATCGAGGCTGACTAGCGTGGTCAGCTTGTGGAAGCATAATAGTTTACGTAAAACATAATTTTACTGACATAACCAAATTCCCCAGGTTGTTGGGAGTGGTGCACATGCGCATAAAGACACTTTGGAGTGTGTACCAGGCTTGCCCTCCCTTTTCTCGGAGGCCTGGGAATGGGTTGTTTGTCCCATAATGTTTGTATAAATGTACACCTCGGAATGCATAACAGCTGTGGTTCGCAGCAAGTCTCACTCTATTTTTGCACAATATACTCTAACAGTTTACGTAACACATTTCAACCAATCACTCTTGGGAATTGGCCTACGCTGCTAGATTGCGCTCAGATTACACTTTGTAGAGTTAGATGTGCACGTACTATATAGTGCCTCAGAGGCCATTCATAGCAACAAATTCCAATGACCATAAATTGTAGTTTGGCCACACATAGTATTGGAATGACATGCAAGGTTGAATATGCCCTAGCATAGAAAATTACATTCTCATAACTGTGCCACGCCCAAACTTTTATGTGTATATGCACCTATAGTGTAGCCACACGTTATTGTGAGGCATGGTTAACCTCCGGTAGTTTTGCACATTTATTTCCAATCACAGCAGTTCGTCATTTACCATGGGACCATGACTAAAAGATTGCAGGGGCAGAGGCAAAGCTCACAATCTAGCTAACAGATGTAAATTATATTCCCTTCCCGTTACCTGTAAAAGATGGTCCTCCAGTAGCACGGATAATCTCATAAATCACTGGTTTCAGTCCCACGGCTGTCTTTGCTGAGCACTCCAAGTACTTTACAGCCCCAATCTTCCTCTGCATCATGACGCCCTCCACATATCTTACAGGCCTTTGACACACTGCTTTCAGTTGTCTGAAGGTATGTTGGTCATCCTTCAAGTCGAGCTTTGTGCCAACAAGAATGATTGGTGTGCCTGGACAGAAATCTCTCACTTCTGGTACCCAATAATCTCTAACAGTTTCAAAGCTATTGACAGAAACGAGCGAGAAACATACCAAAAGGACATCAGTTTGAGGATACGCAAGAGGCCTAACACGGGAATAATCATCTATACCCGATGTGTCGAAAATGCTGATGGTGAAAGGTCTCCCATTTACCCTCTCTGTAACAGTATAGTTTTCAAACACTGTACTAGGCATTGAGCTGCAGTATTCTCCGGTTGTGTAGCGCACAAGTAGACAAGTCTTACCGACGAGAGTATCACCCACCACCACACACTTTATCGACTCCATTCCTTGCTCCATTCCGTCTTTCCGTGGTTCCCTTGGAGTTTGGGAAACGGGACTAGGCGAGCCGGGCGCGGCACGAGGATCACCCAGCCGTTGACCGTTACAGTACAGGCGAAGACCACCTGTACATACCTCTTGCCCTATCCTTGCTGTTGTTGATGCGGTGTTAAACGTGTATATAGTCCGCGGATAAAATATCTGCTAAGCGCTTCTTGCGCGCTCACAGCTCGCGCAATTGCAGAGGCGGAGTCGCTTCCGTGCGCATGCGTATAAAAGGGGCGGTGCCTGGCACAAACATGGCGGCGGTAAAATTCAAAAACGTACCAGAGGCAGTGTATGGAGCCTTCGTTTGTACCGCTAGCGCAACGCTGAACAACATAGCTGCGGTGCGTAACACGGATTGTAATAAAATGTGCGTACGCGCGTGACACGTGTATATAATACGTATAGTGAAGTGCGTGCAAGCTGGCTGTATGGCTCATCTTCCCTCCTGTTTCCTCAGGACTCTGCTGAGGGGCTAGGGCTAGGGCTAGTTTCCTCAGGACTCTGCTGATGGAAAGAACAAGATATTAATATCATCTATGTCAAAGAGCTTCGCCATAGCTCGAAGCTCGACCGGCTTCAATGGAGGCG